TGAAGTTGCGCAGGGGTGGCCTTCTATCACCTGCTGAATTACTACCTGCTGAACTTTCTCTTAATCGAGTGACCGAGATTGCTTTTTTCCTCCTCCTATTACCACCTCAGTCCCTTTTGCTTTAGTGTTGTGACTTTTAGATTGTAAACCTGCTGGCAGGGACTGTTTTATTTTGAACCTTTGTAAGCCACTCTGGGAGACTAAACTGAAGAATGGGATTTTAAAAGCTTTAAAGAAACAAAAAAGTAAATTTTAGCTTTTAATTTTCAACACCTTTACCTCTGTCTCCTTTTGATTTCAGTCCCATTGTTTCAGTGATATAATGAAACAGTAAATTGAGGGAGAAGAGCAAAGGAGAAAAGAGGAAAGAACTCATTTTGGATTGTGTGAAAAAGCTTTCCCACAGAACAATTATTCTTTCCTTATATGAATCTCTTAATTTGTTTTGAGAAGCACACACACAAAGGGAGGGACGGGGAAGGGAGAGGGGAATTAGCTAGAGACTTTGTTACGGGGTGGGAGGTTATTAAGTTATTCTCCAGCTTGCAAATACACTTTAAAGTTTGACCATATCTTCCTTGACTTGAATTTGACACAGAGAGATAAATTACTTGGGGGACACATGCTTTCAGGCTGCCATGTTTGAGTGGAGACCAAATAAACAAGGAGCAGCAGAGCCAGGGGCTAAATGGAAGGGCAGTTTACACAGAATGGCTTTTATGAGGAGGTGAGAAGCCCTGAAGGTGAGGCTTCCATCCTGGTGAAGCTATCCCCAAGGTTAAACAGTGGAAAGTTCTCACCTTTCCTTCTGCAGTTTTACAGAGTGTTTGCTGATTTTTCTCATGTTCACTATTCTTCCTTCACTAGGTGGGTAGAACTGCATGATGTGCTTCAGCTGTATGTTAAGGAAATATTAAGTAGGAAGCTCCAATAGCCTGATGAATCACTGTTGTGAGATGGTGTCAATCTGATCATGATCTTTATCTTGGTCGTTTATAGGGTTAGTGTGGTGTCCGGGCTGGAAAGGATGTGCATTGCGGATGCCCATTTTAGATTAGATTTCATGGTGCTTATTCTTATTTCCATTATAGTGTTTTTCAGAAATGTTCACACACATCCTTGACTTTTCCTCATCTTGTTATGTTACAACCTGGAATTGAAATTAATTTAATTTGGATTGTTACCATTGCATGTACACAAGAAGTTCAGCATTGCTAAAGATTATATTGTGGCAGAAAAATCAAGTACACAAAACCGGCACTTGTTGGTTGCCTAAGTCACACCCCCTTTGCTGTGACATGCCCAATGAAGTTCTAGTGAAATGCACTGCTGCAAATAGGATTTCTTGTTGTTTATATTTTATTTTGACACAATAGCTGTACAACCATATGTGCATCTTATCCTATCCTGTACCCACAACCAACCAAGTTAGATAGTTTGTCCTACTGCAAAACTGCAGTGCTTAACTACAAGCTATCTGTTGTGACAAACTGTCTGGGAAATCCTGGGGCAATTTCTGTAATAAAATACAGCCACAACAGGCAAACAGTGTTTATATCACCCTTTGTCCTTTGGCCAAGGATGAAGGCAGCAAGTCTGAGCTATCTGAAAGCAGCACAGTACTGATTCAGAAGGCTACCATGCGGCTTGAACTGTTTCCTTCTGTGTGTGGAAGAGATGAGGGCAGGGAGGTTTCAGAATTACATGATGGCCATGATGGCATCTGTACCAAGGATCACAACCATCTATCACATGTTCAAGGGAAGAAAAGCTATGAATTACTTTCATTAATAAGATCTGACCTCAAACAAACGGAAATACCAAGGAACACACACACACACACACACACACACACACACACACACACACACATATATATCTGTTCTACTTGAGATGTGCGTTTGGCATTGTTTTTATTAGTAGGAAGGAAGAGAATAACATAGGGTGGTAATATGTATAGAAACATGGCCATAAAGGTGGGATGTAACTGAATGGGCCTGTTCCAGGTTGGTCTGTCTCCTTTTCCCAACATTTGTTTCCAACAAATACCAGGTCATGGTCTTACTGGATCCTTTTTTGGCAGCATGTGCTCAAACAGCAAACTTTCCCAAGTGCTTGACTGATGTCTCAGTTTGAGCTTTTCTTCAGCAATTTTCAAGAGCATATTGGCTTAGTCAAAAGAGTTTACAAGACTTCCCCTGGTGCTCAAATGAAGTATAAAAGTAAGAAAATGAGTGGGGAAAGTGCCAAACTCAATTGATTATGGCAAAGTAGACAACAATTGTATCTTCCCTTCCCCGCTACCCACTCACTCACTGGATACCTTCTTGGGTCTTTGGAGAGGGTTAGGATCCTACACTGCCAATTCATGTTACAAGAACTTGAAGACAGGAAGATTTAAAGCAGGAGATGCCACACAGAACAGCGTGTTGTTTGTCTGCCTTTCAAATCAGAGGCAGCGAAGCTTTGGAAGTGGGGGTGAAAGCATATGTTTTTTTAAAAGCTCACTTTTAAAAAAGCTCACCGATTTTAGATTCATAAGTTCTTCTTGCTTCTGTTTCTTCAGGTGCAGTTCTGTTTTCTTACATGTTAATTTTTCCTGTTTTATTATCCTGTCCATCAACAGTTAGCAGGACCCTGGCATCAGCTAAAGGATCGCTTCCCTTAGCCAGTAAATCCCTTCTAATTACTAATAACCTGTATGACTCTTGCACTGCTGGATGCAGGAGACATCTTCCATGAATCTGCAGCTCCTGATGGAAGTCAACAGTAGATCAATCGAAAGAAGCTAAACAGGTATAACTTAGAGCAGAATTTACAAAATTCATTCCTATCATACCTGAAATGCAAGAAATTCAAGGGGGCATATTTGGAGCCTGCCTCTACCTATTTTATCCTAACAACAGCCCTGTGAAGTAGGTGAGGCTGAGAGTGAGCAACTGGCTCAAGATCACTTAAACAAGCTTCATGGCTGAACAAGGATCTAAGCGCAAGTCTTCCCAGTCGAAAGCTAAACCCTACTTTAGATTAAACTCAGTAATCTGTGTCACATGATCACTGCATTAAATAAGCCACAGTAGGTTGCAGCACACGCCAATGCATGTCAGGTCAGTTTTGGACATTCAAGCCACAACCATGTTAGCCTGGCAAGGTGGGTTGCTCATATATATTTTAAAAATCCACAACCGTGAAGCAGTGCATGGATTGTGAATAGCTGCCTAATTACATCAATAACCAACTCTCACCAGACTTACACAACAAGCCAGTTTGAATATGCAAAATATTGAATAAACAAACAATGGCTTAGTGTGCTATGAAAACAAGCTCTTTGTATTGGATTCAGATGACAATACAAACCAGATATGTTTATTGCTGTCACAATAAACCGTGTTTTATTGCAAAGTCTGAAGACAGCTACTCATAACCAGTAGCAAACATACTTTATGTATATTATTTTTATTTGGTGGATTAGTATGCTTCCTTTCACTATAAAATTCCAAGTACTGGAAAGTAGCAATTCATAAAACATCAATAAATTCAAAAGATCTAATAATAATATTTATTATAAGACTTTTTTCAGAAAAAGATCCAATTTGTCTTACAACAGGAATTAAAACATACAAAACTTTAAATTTATTGTTAAAATAAAGCAATTCAGTACCAATACCTGATGAGCCATCTAGTTAAATAAATTAACTAACTAATCAAAACAGTCATCTGCGAAGCATGCCAAAACACTTGGGCAAATAAGAAAGGTTTTTCTTGAAGCTGGAAAAATATCAGGGATATTTGGTACCTGGTGTTTTCTGAATATCCTATTTGTGAGGTTACCACAACTGAGAAAGACTTCTTCCCCAGCACCACCTGCCTAACTTTAGGTGTTGGGTGGACTTGGATGAGAGCCTCCCATAACCTTGGTTCTCTGCCTCTATGGCCTTATCTACTGAACACCCCATATCCTGGAGTGAATTAGTCCAGGCTTACCTGGACTTAGTTATTAGACTGCAGTGTGCATTTTAACGGTTCTAAAAGGAACATTGTAACAGCTGCAATCTGCTTTTAGTCCAAACTCTGTCCCGCATTTACAGTTAAATCTGCCCTGTGCCAACAGCAACCAAAATCCCTTTACAAAAATATATTTGATTGTATAAATATCTTGGTTCTTTTATTCTGGTGTTTCTTTTATTCTGCCTGTTCATAAAATTTATACATATCCAAGTCTGTAAATGTTTTCCTCACATTGTATGTGGCCACTAAAGAAAGAGGTTTCCCTGTTATGGCAATCTTCATGGAACATCATACCTATAGGGTTGTGACTGGCATGTGTTTTGTGCCAGGGCAACGTTATTGTGTTTGCCTGAGCATTTTAAGGACCCAATCCCACAGTCTTTACGCACAGGCTAGACAGTTGCAGGATGGGTCAAAGTGTTCCAGGACTGCAGGTGGGACTCAGATCTTGGAGCACCCTCTACCTGGCATGATTCTTGCCACACTGCCTGCAGCTTCAAAGTCAAAAGTTCTTTTCAGGGTACAGAGAGGGGAGAAGTGAGAATTCACTGGGATGTGTGGGATCTCTGTGGTGCCTCAGCCCTTTTTCTTTCTGAGCAGGGGCAAAAGACATAGGTGGCTGAAATCGCTGTCTATGTCTTTTGCAGGGTGGGAGAAATGAGAAGGCAGTCCTTGCCTCTGCACTTCTCCCATGCTTGACTGAATACAGATAATCCTCCAAGTTGGGAGGGTTATGAGCAGCCACACTGGATGATGTCCTAGAACACAATCCTTCAGGAGCGATGCCCACTAGAAGGATGGTTCTGATCTCAGACAGCTGGAGGTTACAACCCTGCCTGCAGACTCTGAGGGGTAGATCCCCAGTATCCTATTGGCTAGGCGAGGTCTAGGGGCCAGAGAGTTACTCTTTTAGTTCATTCTACTGTATGAACAAGCAATAAAAGGGGTTTATTATTGTATTCTCTATGTATTGTATTGTTTTGTATTTTAATTTGGGTTATACTTATATTTCCTGCCCTGATATCTATTTGATGAAGGATGCTTTATGAATTTTTAATTAATAAATTAAATGAATATAAGCTGCAGAGTTTAAAATATCTAATTAAAATCACTCAACTGGTAGGCCAAAAGCTAGCTGTCAGTTTTTCTGCCAGCAAAGTGTTATCAAACATTCTTCTTAAGGGAGTAACTGTGACATCTAGGTGCCACTTGGAATGGGCCAATCAATCCATGTTAGTTTTCCATGATGATGTGTTCATTCATATTTCTGATGCATCCGGTTTTAGCATCAATCTACAAGTATATAAGAAGTATTTAAATACTGAGTTTAATTATCTTCTCACAAAATTCTATGATCTAAGTACACTTGCTTTCAAAATACATAGTTTTGAATGTCATATCACAAAATATGCATTTTATAGACACCTGGGTTTTTTTTTTTTTTTTAGTCAAGAAGTGCTTTGGAGGCATGTGACATTCAAAGAACAATCCATATACTATTCTAGGAAGTGGGGATCAGGCCAGTATGCTTGTGGACCAGAAATTAATAAATGAATAAATCCTCAAGCATAACTTGAGGGTGCCACTACTGAGAAGTCCCACTAAATGCATTTCTCACTTTTTGGTAGGGTACATGGGAGAACCACATTGCAGATCATAGCTAGAGTATTGAGAATCTCAGGTTTCTTTTTGAAATGAAATTCTCTAGTACAGAAAAAAGAAACCTTAGAAACTAAGTGACTGTGTATTCTGAAGACTCAGAAATCAAATCCCCCGCTAAAAAAAGACACATAAGAAGCTGTCTTTCACTAATTTCAGATTACCAGAAAATTGAGAGCTCACTTGCTTCTTATGGTTTCCTTAATAACATCTTATCAGAGGCCAAGATGCTCTTGCTCTCAGAGCATTCTTTCTTTAATAAATTCTGCATATGTTCTGAAACCCAAGACCCTACTCAAGGGAGTAACATGAAAGTATCCAAAGGCAAGCTTAGACGGAAAACAGGCCTAGAGCTCCTAGCATGCCTCTGAGTTAGGTTGACTTTACTGATTTTATTTGGAATTCTGTGTATGATTGTTAGCCTCCTTTGCCCCCTTTTATCTTCTCCAACCTCCTGCTGCAAAAAACTTTCTGTTTCATATTCTGACATTTTGGCTATATTTTAAAGGGGAATTTCTTACCAAAAACTCATTCCTGTGTGAAGAACTGCTCTGCTGCAAAGCAACCACTTTTTTCCTTAGTTTTTGATAAGCTCTTTGTGCTTGAATTTTGAGCAAGAGAATCCAACCATTCTTCTTCTTTTTTTCCTAGACCTGAACTGAAGGGAAGGATATTTGTTAATGGAGCTCAGAAACTCCTCAAGTAGTTCAACAGACTAAGGAAGGGGAATATAGCCATTTTGATCCCCAAGGCCATAGCATACTGGCTGTACATACACATGCGCACACATGGAATCTGTTCCTAGATCAACCCCCCCCCCTTTTTTTTACAGTGGTGGCAGCCTCTGGACGCCTCTGGTTGAGGCAGGGTGAGCCACCTATGGGACTCAATTTTGTCTTTGCACCCTTGGACAAAGGTATGTCCAGTTAGGGTCAGTACACTTGATGGTGGCAACCTATCAGTAATTCCTTTTTGAGGAACCCTTGGGAAGAAGAAGTCCACCAGGGAGATAACTTAGCAACAGGGAGAAGATGAGGAGAACTAAGATAGGCAGGAACTTGCTTGATTACAAGTTACATAATGTTAGCACCCTGCCTTCTGCAGTTCTGCAAGATCTCCTGGTTATAATGAAAGAAGCAAGAGTGGGCCCAACTTTTGCAGAGTGGCAGAACCCCACTCAGTGGTGAACAGGCAAGAACACTGGCCCAACTGCCCCAGTATGGTGTTCTTGAATGAGGTCTGAGCCTTTGGTGGCCTGTGCTATGAACTACTGTGTCTAGGCAACAGGTATTAAGCTTGCACTGTAAGATAAGATATGCTCACTTATTAGAACATGCATGTAGAGTAACCCCTCTGTCTGGCAATCCATGCATTTCTGAGTGAATGTTTTTGTCGTTAAATTTTAATAAGTGTAAATTAAGCTTTCAGCTGAGAACTGCCACTTCTAGTCTCACATCAGAAACTGCATAAATCATAGCATCACCCAAGAAGTGCAAGATTGTCCACCAGCTGTTGTTGCTTGGCATACGCCATGTTCATGCACTTTCTTTTGCAAATTATATTAATTATGTGTAAATAAAAAAAGATGTGAATTTGCCAGAAAGCACTGAAGCATGTCACGAGCAGGATGAAGCTCTCCAGCACTGAACAAGTTGTCCACCTTTAACTTGTTAAGATGAGTGGCTCTCCTCCTTAAAGAGGGCTTTTGATTTAAACCAAAATAGGATTTAATGTCAGAATGATCAGCTGAACTTCTTTAGCCTAAGTTAGGCAGAATATCCAATTGGACAGGCATAACTCAATTGTATTATCACTGTTGGATGACATTAACAAAAAACCTGTGAAACTGTGAACTGTGATTTGCAACTCAGCCCATGAAAATTCTCCAGCCCTGAGACATGAGTGTGCCATTAGAGTTTCTCATTAGAGCAGCTACAGTTGTGGAGCAGTAACTGTGTTATCATCCCTTCCTCTGTAGCCACAGTGGGAGGAATTCTGAGAACATAATTCTGGACTAAATGTTGCTAAGTCAGTAAAGCCATTGAGTAGATATGTTGATATAGCACAAGCGCTTTATTTTAGTCCTTCATACCAAGTTGCAAATAAGTTGAGCCCACCAATTACTACAATCATTATGTTGGAAAAGCAAAAATAAAGAGCAACCCTAAAATATAGGAACAGTAGGATCAGTCGAAGTTCACAGAGCCATGTGCAGAATTTCATTATACAAAGCTTTTCAGCAGACTGGAAGTACTCTTTCTCTCTGTCTCTGATCAATGTTTCTAACCATTTCTGAACTAGATGTGCTTGTTCCTGAGCACTAACCCCCCGCTTCCATTGTGACACAATTACACTTACCAAGTTAATGGAAAACATAACTGAATCTGTCCATTATTAAAGGCTCCAGCACAACTTCTTCCCTAAACAAAAAACACACCTTGTTGGCTTTTCATTTCTGCCTGGCCTCAGTAAATGCATGTGAAACATACCATTAACAAAACCAGCCTCTTCACTTTTTCTCAGTAATCCAGGAGGAATGAGCATCCAGATGCAGTAATAAGAGCTAATTGTTGGAATTACACATAAATTACCCCTTTGCAACAGCCTTCATAACTGGAGATGAAGTTATAAACCTGCAGTTCAGGGATAAGCAACAGGTAATTTCCATAATGTTTTGCCTGAAATAGGAGGTGGACTATATAGCATTATTATGGCTGTAATTCAATGTCCTCCACGTTCAATAAATGTAAGCCATCAAACTCTAACACTTATGCATAACTAGTGCACAGTGTGCGGAAGGTGGTAGTAATTTATACTGCCTTGCACCTCACACCCTGGACTTCATCTGGACACACACTTTTGGCCATATAGTTGAAGCCCCATAGAGGGAGAGAGAGGAGGCTGTGGCACTGCTTGGAAGCTACAGGCTTCCCAGCTTCCTGGCATGCCTCTTTTCTTTCTCTCTGAGACCAATTTCCAGCCACAGAGAGCAAGCCAACCTGGATCTTTCCATGCTTGTTGTGAGGGAGTCAGAGCAGGGGCTCCAAACATGATCACAGGACCTTGGAGGTGGGACTCTTTTAATCTTTTACCTTGATGGAACTGTCTTGAAGTACCACTGAGCTAGGAGATGTAGTTTTTCATGTTTTCCCAGCAGTGATCACTCTACCTCTTCTGCTTATTGTTAAGTGATGGTGCCCAGTAGAACAATGTACTTTGTAACTATTTGTTTTTCATAAAACTGTAAGGTCCACCTTACTGGATTTGGCCAAAGATCTAATGATTTAAAAAAAACCATGCCTCCAAGAGTAACAGGCTGAATGCCCTGGAAATTTGCAAACAGGGCATGATGGAGATAGTGATCACTGATTTATCCCCAAAGTCTTATAATCAAAGTTATACCGCCTGTGGGGAAGTTTTAGAATGACTTGCATCATGATTTGTGATCCTTGTTGGAACTATGCTTAAACTAGCATTTGTCAGCAACCTTTTTCTTCACTGAAAGTAGCTTTTAGAAAAACCAGTTTCTATAGAACAGAGACAAGTTTGTCCTGTTTTCTATCATACACTGGGCAATAAAACAATAGCCTTGAAAGCTTTTAATATGATGCCGGAGAAACATCTGGCTGAACTTGTTACACTTAGCTTTAGTTTTTAATTCACTAAATCCTTAAGCACTGCAAGGGGTCGACCAGGGTCCCCAGCACAGCACCCATTGATACCAAAGCACTGCAGGAATGTCCTGTGGTGCCCAAAATGCTCTCCATCCTGCCCATTTTCTCTTTGGAAAATGTTAGGGTAGTCTTTCTTCACATTCAAAGCATGGTGTTAGGAGAGATTTGCAAATACCATGGACTGCAGAAAGATGAACACGTGGGTCCTAGACTGAATCGAACCAGAGTTTTTCCTAGAAGCAAAAATGGCAAAACTGAAGCTGTCATAATTGAACACACCATGTGAAAGCAAAACTCCCTGCAGAAGAAAGTAGAAGGCAGAAGAAGGAAAGGAAGTCCAAATATGCGATTGACTGAGACCATAAAGGGAAGCCAATTCTTTGAATTTGTATTAACTGAGCAGGGGTGTCATGATACGGCATTTTGGGAGGGCTTTCACTCATAGGGTCATCGTAAACAAGTCTATTTCTTTCCCTTTCTAGTGTCTAACTTTTCTCTCTCTCTCTTCTATCTCTTTGCTACTTCCCCTTCCCTCAATCCCAGCCTCTAGCTTCACTATAGGTGGTTCAAATGACAACAAGCCACAGTGATTTTTTGCAGATGGTCTGTTGTATCATCTGAACCCTACTGTGATAATTTGATGTGGTACATTTGTTTTTTAGAAACCATGATAAGAAACAACAGTCTGTTCTATGGTTTCCATGCTTACCATAATTTCTCCAGTTGTTTGAACCCAGCAGGATGATTGCCACAGTCCATACAGCCATCACAGAGACCCCTGGAAAGAGCAACAACTGAAAGAAATATTCCAGCCATTCAGCATATGATTACATATTGGGTCCAGTGGCTGATGAGATATATGCCAATAGTGGGAGGACTATGTGAGGAGTGTGGAAAACACACTAGTGCAAAAAAGACACGATCATTTGTCAGGCATATCTAGGCAAAACACTTTGCACTCTGGAAACCACACAGGGTTGGTTGTGATGTGTGAACCCAGCAAATTTCTCTCCTCAGTTTGTTTCTCCCTGCTCCAGTCTGCTAGTGTTGCCCTTTTCTATTCCGTTATTTCCCCTGTCCTCTCAGCCTCCAACCTTACCATTTTCATCCTTTCACCTCAGTACACACACGTGTGCACACACACACCCCCTCCCCCTCTAGCTCACCCCTCTAACCTTCCACCAGGCCCTATGACAGCTTTTATGTGACTAGCCACATCCTGTTGGGGAGAATTTTGCAGTGCCATCCACAGCAGTTTTGCAATTTCCCACATGTGTTCACAAGTCCAAAAAGGCTGGGGACCCCTTGGGTAGAAAATAGCAGCATTATATTCCTAACCAGAGTCATGGATTCATGAAATGTTTCCTGTTGCATAAATAAGTTTTCCATCTTCTGAACTGGGCCTTATAGCTGTCCCTTTAAGAGTAGCTTGACCTGTTGCAATTTCGCAACTGATAATGTTTAGCTCCCTCCCATAAAAAGCTTCACCGTCCTGCCTTGGAGAAAAGGCCCTGATCCAAACCATTGCTTTACTCTTCAGCTGCTGCTATTCTTCATCATCATCATCTACAATCCAACTGAATCTAAAATAAGCATGCATAAGCTTGCCTTCATTAAGTAAATACCATTAAATTTCATTGCCTCTTAGGCCTGCTGCAAATCCAAAAAGTGCAGCTAAATTATTGTGAACAGATCCAGATAAACTTCTATGACTTCTGATTAAAAAGTCCTTAAATGCCAGTGAAAGTTAATGATCCTTTGAGGTCTAAAATGCTGCACAGTTGCTCTGCTCAAAACTACTTATCCCAGGATAGCTGCAATGAGGCCAATGGGCTTCTCCAGCATAATTGCTTTGTGAACTATGTTAACACATGGGGGGCGGGGGGGTTAAATCTCTAAGGATCTATGGCACAGGCAGCTATTTCAGACTACCTATCTTATTTTAGCCCAGTTCCATATCCACACAAACATCCTTTTGTGAAAATCATAGTAGCATCTGCTCTGGTTTGTTTCCCAGTCACTTCCTGTGTGTTAGCGCAGCAAGAGCAGAGAACGGGGCCTTTTCCATCATAGCACCTCCTTCCAAGGGAAGCATCCACAGCACAATCCTGCAATCCTTCCTAAGGCAGGAGGTTCTTCCTTTGCAGAGGTCCTTATATTTTAATGATGCCTTGGCTTGGTATTTGCACACTCTTTGTAATACTTCACTTACATAATTGAATCAAGTTTTGTTTTTTTGTTTATGAGTTAGGCTTCTATATTTTGCTTTTTTTTTCACTAAGGAAACAAAAAGGGAAAGTGCAGATTTAAAAAAAAAAAACCAAGAGCTACACCCCCTTTTCTTTGACATAGCAATGTACATGTCATGCTTTTGGTTCTGGCAGCAATAAGCAAATGTTTCAGGTTGCGATCCTAGGTATTATTACTTTGAGTAAGCTGCACTGAATTCTTAGGGCAGCTTATGTCTGAACATGCAGACACGCATTGGATCTGGCCCCTAATGTTTTCCGAAGACTAACTTATTCGGGACCATTTTGGAAAACAGTGAAGGCCAGAGACCTGCACGCACACACAAGCACTCCCCCCCCCCCCTCAGTTGCGCAGTTGGCTCTTCCTTCTCGGAGCCTTTAGGTAATCCGCGTCTCGTACAGAAAGCCGATCCGGAGGAGGAGGGGCTGGCACTCCCGCTTGGCCAGTTCCAACCGGAGAAGACAAGGGATCCCCACTGCCTGTGGCCACAAAGGCTTCCTCAGTGCCTAAAGAGCTGGCCGGCATGTGCACTGCGCCATCCCCGCCGGGTTGCTTCCACCTTTGCCTTGAAACACACTGAGAAGAGAGGTTCGCTTTTTCCCTTCTTTTCCCCTGAAGCCGGTGATGGATTTATTTCCTTAACAAAAAAGACAGAGAGTTTACAGTTCGGCTTTCACAAATGCATCTGATAGTTGTATAATCCCAGCAGGACAGGAAGATCCCACCCGCAGGGCCATTCTTCCCCCCCCCCCCCGCACCCTTTCCATCCCCACCACCCCCTTTCCGAGGCCTCAGACAGTCCTCAAACAACAACTGTCTGCGAGGCCCAGCTAATCCCTCACAGGTGACCTCAAGGCAGCCGACGCCTCTCTCTAAACTCTTGCATTCCAGAGCTTGGCTTAACCCCTCGTGCGCTGCGGAAGCGCCCCTCGCTTTGTGGCTGGAGAAGCGGAGAGGGGGCGGGATCGGAGAGAGGTAGCTCCCCCAGGTCAGGCCGGGCTGCGAGCGGAGCAGCATGGTGTTTTCTGAATCCTCCCTTCCACCTCTTTTGGTCAGAGGTTAAAAGCCTAATGTATTATTATAAAGGAAAGAGAGAGAGAGAGGGAGAAAGACTAGCATTCTTCCCTATAAATCATTCTAATGATCTCGGCACATGTGGGAGCCAGACCGTGCTGAAACCTCCTGCGCTCCTGCTTCTGTATGCTCCACGCTTTATTTACTCGCTGTAACTAGGGACTTCATGTTCAACTATCTGATAATGAGGCGCACATTTTTCCAAGAAATGACACCTATTTGCTTTCTCTTGAGAGGATGCTGTTGTGTTCTGGCGAGGGCGAATGCCCCAGTGATGTGGCGGCATGGGGCTTCATGGCATGCACCTTATGGCAGGAGGTGGGCTTAGTTTTTCCAAAGCTTGGAGCTGCTGCTTGGTGAAGTTTTTCTCCTGAGGCATGAAACTCACTAGGTGGCTTTAGACAAGCCATTCTCTACAGCCTCGGACACCTAAGAGGAGAATACTGACCTGGCTCTCAGGCAACACATCTACAAAGGTACAGGCTTGAAGAGACCTCATTCCACACAAGCAAGTGATTTTATTTTCATTTAATTGTCTTCCTGACCAGGGTAGTGAAATTGCAACGTATTTTGTTGCAATCCATGTTTTGGTCTAATATCAAAGCAAAGGATCTTGGGGTTGTGGTGGTTAACTTCATGGAAAAAATCAGTGTGGAGCTCCTGTGAAAAAGTCAGATTTCATATTGGGGATCATTAGAAAATGGACAGAAAAGAAAATGGCCAAAATCATAATCCCTTTATACAAATCTATGGTACAACCACAGTTGAAATATTGTGTACTGTAATTTTCAGTACACTTCAAAAAGGATATTGTAGAACTGGAAAAATGCCAAAAAGGGCAACTAAAATGATCAAGGGGTAGAGCAATTCCCCCTATTAGGAAAAATTGTAACATTGCAGTTGAGAAAAAAGGCTGAGAAAAAAGGGGGGACTTAATAGAACTCTATAAAATTATGTATGGCGGGAAGAAAATAGCAAGAAGTGTTTCTTCCTCTCTTCTAATACCAGAACCCAAGGTCATTCAATGAAATAAACGGAGGGAGATGCAGGGCAGATAAAAGGAAGCATTTCTTGATATATTTGTCAAGAATGGAAAGATGGAAACATCTTTCTTTCCCACAGAATGTTGTTAGATTGGTCGTGCTACAAACTCCAGAAGCACCTTTACTAAATGAGGAGTAAGGGAATGATTGGCAAGAGAATGAAAAGGTGGGCAGAGTCACAAACCATTTTAGGTCATTTTGGGGAAGACAGGTAGGTCCTCTTCAGGGTTCCAAAGAGCGCTTGAGGGAGCATCATGGGAGAAAAAAAGTGGTCATGCGTGCTGGCCCTCCTCCCTCATTCCTATATGTGCCACGCCATATGGCCTTTTCACATACAGCATGGGGTCCTACAAGGTGTTCAGCTGAGGTTAAGTCACCTCATGAAGAGAGCTTGGAAAATGACGGGGCAGAGCTTGGCATACAGAAGTCATTTTGCGGCTGGGGTGTGTGATTCAGTTGTGTTTGTGAGAGTTGTATGCATATACACAACCGTGACAGCTTTATACATGTCTGTGCTCACCCACATGAATCCAACACCAGCAGACATCCAGTGCAGTCCTGCTGTTAGGAGCCACAATGAGGTTATATGTTGCTAGAGCAGAGATGAGACTGGTGAAAATGGAAGGAAGTCATGGACCCATCTTGTTCATGGACTTTTTCCTTTCCAGAAGGAAGTCCAGTTCATTGTCATTGTCTATGCTTTGGAGAAAAGATGTCGCCATTAGCCAAATGACTAGCAGTTTGTTCAACTAAGGATGGGTAGATTTTGCACAGCATAAATGGCTTTGTTAGTATGCTCTGCCTTTTAGGATGTATCATGGTGTCTTAATTGTCATAAATGTCTGCCAGTGTCACTACTGAATATCGAAGCTAAGCCAGAAAAAGAATATGCAATAATAGCTGTATGCCCATAATATCTAGCATTGCCATTATGTAGGAATACGACAGACAATAAACCCAATGCTGTTTCTGAAGAGTGTGTGTATATGGGAGTCATGCACTGTTTTATCTCAGCAGCTTGCCCAAGAATAGATGTGAATCGGAGTAGGGATACTGTAGTGCTCTATTAAAAAGACAGCTCTTGAGGAATGTGTGAGTGGGTACGTATTAGTATCAGAAAGGCACGGAGATAATGTGTGCAGCAACTTTTTTTCCTTTTTTTAAAAGATTGGGCCACAAAAGTGCATTGAAGCCTTGCCCAGCGGTGTTGCAAGTAATGGCATTATCACTTGCCTGCGGAGTGCAGCAAACTTGGATAAGCTCTGTGCTACATTAAAATATAGCTATTCAGGAGCATGGTGCTATCGATGCAGCCTGTGGTATTGCATTAACAGTCTGTCACTGGAAGTGCGGTGTTGTTTTATTGGATGGGAGCCTCCTGTTGTAGGTCCCTCGACATTTTTCCATCAGCGTTCCAGCCTACCCTGTGCTTTTAACTTTAGCAAGACCTCAGGAACCAAATTATTTGTAGTGCAAATAAACTCACTCCAACAGGTATGAGAAGATAAAACTGGACCACCGGCTGACCGATCAATAACGAGTGTTTAATACCTGTGCTGAGATTTTTCTACACAATGACAACAGCTGTGGAGAACAAAGACCTCTTCTCTCTCTCTCTCAGTCTCTCCCTTTCTTTGTAGGAATGATGCCAAACTTTGGAAAGATCAAAGTACAAGCAGTGTCCAGAGATGATCCCATACAATAAAAAAGAAAAATAACAAAAATAGAAGGATTGTGTTAGGCTTGTTAACTTCCAGTCAGGCAGCCACATGCTATGCAAGCTGTAATATGCCCCCTAGTGG